CATGTACCATGACATTAAATGCATTCACTTCTTCTAGGCATTAGGTACGAAAGATATGATTGGCTTTTTTTAAAACGTGTGCCTCATGTCTTTATAATGTTTTATAAATTTATTTTATTTGTTGTTAAACAAAAAATACATGTACGTGCATTATAAATATTTTTTCGTGCAAAATTATCATATATACGAACTATATATACATGTATGTGTGTGTGTGTGTGTATATATATATATATATATATGGGCCGGTTCTAGTGAGAATGGCTCTTGGTGAAACAAATGAGAATAAAGGATACACGTTGATATTGCAAATCTAAAGACTCAAATTTGATCTAAAACTAGCGTCATTCACCAATTAATATGGTAAGTAAAATCAATTTAGGAATGGAATAGGTGCACAGGGGCATTACTGTACAAATGAAAAAAAATCGTGCGCATTAACTTCCACCTTTTTAGCCATTATGGGAGGAGTTGCCATTTTAAACTTCCACCTTTAATGATTTCTTTTTTGCTCTATGTTTTTAATTTGTGAACCATTTATCTTTTATAATTATAAATTATGAATAATTTTTTACTATTGAATATTTTATTTTTTGCTATATTTTAATGCATTTTCGTGGAGAAAGAGATTTATTTATTTGCATTATTTTTTTAAAACAAGTAATATGTTGTCTACAATTTTTTTTAATTTTTTAATATTTAATCGCCTATTTTTTTAATTTTCATTTCTTTCTTTACCATTTTGTATGAAAATATATTTATTCTCACGTGATAGGTCTTTATCTGAATATTCCATTCTAATAAATAGTTGCAATAGATATTTTAAACTATGCATGCATTCTTGATTTATCCTTTTGAATTAATGAATAATGATTGGTGAGTAACTTTTTATGTATTGAGAAAGTTTAAGAATGCATTGTACTCTATATTTAAAACAAGTGCAATACATATTTGAAAAATAGTTTGCCTATGTGGGATTCGAACCCACATCCGTAATATATACCGCTCTACCATTTGAGCTAATAGACAATAACTTGTTTTTTAAAGGGACACTCATCTTGCAGTCAAACCTTTTCTTTGAACACCACACAAACTTGTATTAGCACTAAAGTCTTGCATCATTCGATGTGTTTCTAACCCATTAAATACAAATTTTAATCTTTTAAAATTTGCACCATTCGATGTGTTTCTAACCAATTTTCAAATTTAACATAGAAAACTTTAAAAGCATCATCATTTGTAAAAAAAATTCACTATCCAAAATATATACATGCATCATATTTGCGTTAGAAGAATGTCAAGATCAAATGCATCAACTTTGATTATGAGAATGTACAATAATAGAATGCATTATCATTTATCTTTTATTATGAGAATGTATTGCCCTCTCGTGAAAATGCATTACCGTAGTTCTAATGGTGCACAATATAAAATAACAAAAAGTAAAAAAAATTAAAAAAAAATGCAGCAATGTGCACCCATAATGAACAAATTATGCCACAATGTTGTCAATGTGAAAAAATGTCAACTAGGTAATAGAAAAAATAAAAAAAGAGAAAATTAAAGCATCAATGCACACCCCAAACAAATACATCACCACAAGAGCAGTCAAGCGGTGATCCAAAAATTTAACGTATGAGTGTGAGCATGTAGATTTTTATAACGCTGCCTTGATATGTTTCAATATGGAATGTAACCAATTTACTAAGTTCATGAAATGAGAACCTGGCAATAGCGATTGTGATAAATTAAATTGCAGTATGTGAACAATAACGAGCAACACCAATTTAAATTAATGCAATATGGGAATATAGTAGTCTTAACCAATAAAATAAAGATTAGTATGTATTAACATTAATCACAACAACCCCATCTGAATAGGCAAAAATACAGTAACCTAAGCATAAATTAGACTAACCAACTTAAATTTGCACTAGGAGAAACCTGAAAGTGCAGTTTGCAAAAGCTAAAACTAACATATAAATAATTAAACTCAATCAGAACATACATGTGTAGAGAGCATTTGAGAATTTTAGATGACAAAAAATACATAAAAAAATGCAGTAGGCCTGCTTTAGTGCACCAAAACATTAAAAAAATCATAATTACTAAAACAAAGCCTCACGATATTGGCAACACAATGAACTAACAATGCATTATCTTGAGTATGCATATGCACAGATTTTAAGTATTATAATACATAAAGCACTGTGATTCAACAGGTGTAAACAATTCATAAGGAAATAAATAGAACTCAAACATTATAAAACATAAAGGAGCAACCAAATGATTCGCTCTACAATTATATATATTATGATTAATTCACCATAAAACTACATTTCTTTGTTTAAAAAAATCTGATCATCGCCACAATCAGTCAATTAAAATACATATGGAGGTTGTTGTGAGGTATTAAGAGATCCCTTATTTGTATTGGGGCTGTCCTTATCACCAATTTCGTGTGTTTGATTCTCTAGGGCATTTTATCAAACACCTTGTGTTCTCCACTATACCTTAAACTAAAATTGAACAATCTTCTTCCTTTTCTACAAACTCAAAGTGTGGAGATCTGCAAAAGACTCTGCGAGCTCCTCAAAGATGTGGGAACAATGGGAGGTGGTGGTTCCAAGGGTAATGGAACTCCTACTCTGCCTCGGCGCACATCCTTGAATTTCCTATCCTCCCATCTAGATCCCACGTGAACCAAATACTCAATCGAGGCTCTAATCATATTGTGGGCCTCTAGTATGAGTTCTTGGATAACCATATCCAGCTGCAGCCCTCAGGCTAGTAGGGTAACAAGAGATCCACACATGATGAATGGACAATCGCCTATAGACTAGTCATATAGGAATCGTGCTACAAATTTTGCCACATTCACTGGCGTAAATGTTTCCAAACTCCAGAAAAGAGAAAATGTGACTTGCATACCACATTGGCATTGTTAAAACACCGAAAATAGCTGGCAGCCAAGGAACGGTTCAGGATTCTCCAAGAAGGTCTCAGTTAATGCCAGCCCAGTCTGTGGCATCTAGTGGGAAGTCAAAGACGTCTAGGTTTCCGTCCACTACAAGAAATTATGAGTTTCGCCGCATTTAATTTGCCACACTTGACTAAGTGTGGCAATAAAATTTAACACTTAAATATTTCTCCACACTTAAAAGAGTTGTTATAAATAATTTCATGTACCCACATAATTAAGTGTGCCAAATTAATTATATATACTTAATTTAAGAAAATTTATTTAATTTATTAAATTAATTACACTTTAGTAATTGAAATTCTAAAATTAATCCCTAACAACCTTAAAAAATCTAAGCCCGCTTATTCTAATTCACTAAAAATCTAATCCCACGCTTAAGTTTTCATTCTCTGCTCCATTATTCCGCCTAATAATTCATCTCCTCAAAAACCAAAATCTGTAAACCTAATCTATCGATCCATTCTCACTGGTTCTACCGCCTGCGTGCTCTCTAGACCTGGAATCGCCCATCTTTGTGGCGCACCATCGCGTTCTCTCTCTGGCGCACGCATAGCATTCATCTCTGTGGCGCACATCTCCTCTGGCCTACAGCAGTCTACATCAGTCCTTCAGCATCAATTTCACAATCCACCGGCCAGGTATGTAAACCTAATCTATCTTGCGTATCATCTTAGCATTCAATTCGTTTGGCCTGCAATTAGATTGTTTGAAATTAGATTGTATAAAAATCTATTTCGCTAATTTTTAAAATTTAGACTCTAAAAATCTGTACAGCCTTATTGAATTGCAAGATATTTACTCCTAATTGATGTAAATACTCAATAAAATGTATATGCATTGTTTTTTGATCTCTTATTCTTTGCTCTGTTTTCTGGAATGAGGATAGTTAATTCATATATGCAATAGAGGCATTTGTTTGCTCTGTTCTAAGCTATTATGGTGTGGCTTGCAAGTATACATTATCTAGTTGATACAACTTACGGGGGAATGTTTACATAATGTATTTGAAATTTATAAGAAGGCCGGTTGTGTTTCCTCTCTTAGACTAATGAAATGTTGGTGTTTCACCTTTTAGATAAATGAAATGTTAGGGGCTTCCCTTTTAGATAAAAGATGGTTCCATGAATTCTGAGGATCCAACTAGTACATCCCGAAACAACTATAATGCACCGTTTTTGTTATGGAACAGGGGACAGGGGCACATCACGGACTTAGATTTTGTTAAGATCCCAAATTCCATAGGTTTGTGTTTGTTTGATATCCTAAAAGTCCGTGTTTGACCAATTTCTCCATGCACTTCCCAAATATCTCCAAGCACTTCCTAAAAGTCCCTGTTTGACAAAATTTCTCCATGTACTTCACAATCACCAAACGAAGGGACTGACGGGTAATGATAAAAAAAAAGTAATGGCCAGAATGACTTCTAGTTTCATCATTTGGGATTAATCCATTTTATGTTTTTTCAAACCTTTTGCCTATGACTTCTCGTTGGTAGGGACTTTGGTTCGGTTAATGTATATTTTTTTGGATATTACAAATGAATTGGCAATATTCTAAATTGAGTATACTAAAACTCACTATCTATGCTCAACCCTAAGCTATAATGCAATGTATATTGCTTCCAAGGAATATTTTTGAAATTGTCATCCCATTAATGTCGTGACAACAAGTGAGCTACCCCTTACTTTTGGGGCTGTTTAACCTGCATGGTGGTAGTTCTTTCTATTGTTGGCAGCCCTTGTTCGTGGTCCGCTTGACCCTTTCGGTTGGGGTTTGGGAGGAATGTTTGGGCAACTTGATGGCTCACTTTGGCTCACTTAGTTACTTTGGTTCTTGCGGCTTGTTGGGGCTGTTCTTACTTGGGTGATGTAGGTTATGTTTGCCGGATTTCCTAGTAATAAACAATATGAATCATGTAAGTTTATTTCTTTTAGCTAATGATATGAATTTCTCTTTAAAATATTACTCATTTTAACTTTTTCTTGATGAATAAATGATTGAAATTTATGAATTGTAGGTCCAATTATCTCGAGCTCAAATAGAATTTTTTGTGGACAAAGTGGTAAAAGATTACCCTCAAGAACTACAAAAGTATCGATCTCCAGCAAAAAGAGAATTTGTTCTTTTGTTCTTAGAGGGAGTGGTAAAAATCGAAATTAAATTAAAAGTTTGAAATTTTTGTTTATCTTTTTATTCTTCTAGAAGATCTTATATATATGTGTCTGTGTGTGTAATATTTGCAGGCTACTGGTTTGTGCAAGAACAGGGCAGATCCAGATCTGTTAAACACAGTACTACGAGAAAAGCTAGACAAATCTATACTTGTAAGTGCATTATATTGTGTGTGTGTGTGCAAATATATGTTTCATAAGAGTCTTCATGTTCATGCAATTTTTGTTCCTCTACCCATCCTACTGGAATCAGCTTCCTCCCTTCAAGAATTTTTGCCCTACTTCGAGTAACTATATGTGATGGAGAATATGTTTTTCTGAGTAGCTGTGGTATACATGCCGTAGGGTAATAATAGCCTTGGTCGTGGGACTCCCGGTAGCAATAATAGCCTCGGTCGAGGCACTAGTCCAACGAAAGGGAGAGAAAACACTTTTTAAACACTAGTCCAACGACCGAGGCTATTATTTCATAGTGTTAAACTTTTTAAACACTAGTCCGATTTAAAAAAACACTAGTCCAATGACAGGCACTAGTCCAGATCTGTTAACCACATTTTTGCATAAATTTCATAGTGTTAAACTTATTTAAACAACTAAGTGGCACTATAACTTTCATGTCCCTGACCCCAATTAATTGGGACTAAGGTGATGATGATATCATGATACTACATATACAAAGAGATGACCTGTAAGATGTTGAGCTCTAATTTTCATCTTCAATAATGCAGAATAGGAATATAGGATAGAGTTTTATCTAGCTGCTGCCTTTCACTGTTTTGCATGTCTTTTTATACATAGGTATCACTTTTTTTGCATAATTCTTATATGATAGAGATTTAATTCAAAGTTTTTTGGACTTTGCAGGTGTCAAACAAAGATAATAAAACAAGAAAAGATGGTAAAGCTTTTTTATAAACTGAAGTCAGGCTTATGCATGAGTGATTCCGCACCAGTTTGAATACAAAGTGAAGATCTACATTGTGCAGTGGTTGGAGGACATATCATAGTTTACTGAATATATATTGCATTCCTTTTTAATTTTGAACTCATTTCTTTTGACTCTAGATTTTTTATATACGTACTACCCATGGAGGTACTTATAATTTGATGATGGCATAGCTTTTTATATGCAAGATTAGTAAGTTAATTTAATTTAAACTTTGATTGTCTTGATTTTTAATTTATATGTATGTATGTGTGTGTGTGTGTGTGTGTATATATATATATATATATATATATATATATATATTACGAATCTTTAAAATATTTGAAAAATACCATCAAAAACAATGTTTAAAAATTAGTTACAGAGTTGTGATTAGCCATACATATTTGTGTGCATATTATATTTATTTATTTATTTCAAGCAAATAAAAATTGCCGCATTTACATGTGCGGTGCGTTGGAAACACATATAAATGTCGCAAAAGACAAGATTAGCAACACTTACAAGTGTGCTTACCGTATTCATTTTGCCACACTTATTTTATGTGTCGCAAAATTTTCCCCACACTTTTAGCTGCCACACTTAGCTCATGTGTGGCGAACACTTTTTGCCACACTTATATATGTTGCGAAGAGCATTTTTAAGTGTGGCGAAAGACATAAATTCTTGTAGTGTCTTGTGTAGTATGTGGGGAAGGACACATCCAGGCGAGTGTTGGTACGATCAGGGATTGTGTATGGGTTGTGGGCAGGCTGGTCACTTTGGAAGGAACTGTCCCACTAGCCCGAACACTCCCCCAATACAAGCACCGACTCATAGTCAGACAACTGCACTGCAATAGATGCAAACTAAACGTACGACGGCAAGAACAAATCGATAAAGAAATCAGAATCAGTAGCCAGGGCGAGCTCCAGGATGCACTTATGCCATGATAGGACATGCAGAACCTCAATATAAGGAAGCTTTCAATGGTACGCTTCAAAATTTAACTTAACCACAATTATAAATGACGCTTGTTTCCTATGTCTTATCTGTGCAAATTCTATGTGCATGTGTTTTGAGTAGACGTTAAACTAAGGAATTTCGGGGACAAAATTCTTTTAAGGGATAGAAAAATGTAACTTCTCGAAAAGCGGCTTAGTAGTTAGTCATTCTTTTAATAAAAATAAATATAATACTTTATTATATTTTGTGACTCAAAAATGTGAATTATTTGTAAAGTTGATCGTTTTATTTAAAAATTAGGTTTTCAGGTAGATCTCAAAAAATGATGACCAACGATATATAATTTGTTAAGTTTGGACTTTCGTATAGAGCGTGAAGAGTAAACTAGATGTTATCGTTCAATAAATAAATATAAAGATTTTGAAAATATAATATTAATAAATATTAATAGATTGTTATTCTTTAATCTCTTGTTTCCTACCCAAACACGGTAATGGAAACCCAATACCCCCCAGCCCTTATATATACCTATTTATAATTACAGAGTATGGAATGGAGGACTTTGGGAGCATTAAAACATATATTTACGAAGTGTCTTGGGTGCGATACGGAAGAGGGAATGGAAACACACTGCGACCGGGAAGAACACAGGGCTCTGCGATCTAATTGAGCCAGCAAGTTCACCAATAAGCAGCCGCCATAGTTCGCCATCTTCTTCGCCGACTAATTTGTTGATTCTTTTAATTTGTAAAATAATTGAGGTGAGTGCATGGACATCTAACTTTAGAATACGTGTATAGGTTTGAAATTGACGTTCGTTGTTTCGTGTGATTGATTATGTGATTTTTATGGCCTTTTTTATGGCCTTTCAGAAATAAGATCACATTAGGGATAAGATTTTTATGGCCTTTTTTCTGTTTCGGCCCAGGCATATGAATTCTCAAGACCGGCCCTGCCACCGCCACAAACATCATGGATGCAAATGATGACATCGAGTCAAACTTTATTGATGAATGTCGACATAGACATAATTGGCCAAAATGGAACAAAGCAATCTGGGCAGAATTGAAATCACTTGAAAAACAAATTCTTGGGCCTATAGTTCTTGTGCCAAAAGACATGAAAGTAGTTTTTTTTCAAATGGGTTTTTTTGCACTAGCACAGTGAAAAAATGTGATTTTGAGATATAAAGTCTGACTTATTGCTCAAGGTTTTTCTCAAATCCTGGGGATAGATTATGAATAAACTTAATTCGCAGTAGTTTATGCAACTACATTGAGATTTTTGATAGACATGTCTGTCTTTGAAAAGCTCCAAATGTGTTTAATGGATGTAGTGACAACATATTTGTATGGATCTCTAGATATTCGGCAGAATGTGGCATAATCGTCTCAGTAAATATCTACTTAGAGAAGGACACAAAAATGATCCAATTAGTCCATGTGTTTGCATCCATAGATAGAAAACTGTTGGACATGAGTTCAAACCCCTTTATTATTTTTCTGGAATATTTTCTTGGTTTGATAAATGACAAACAGGATGATGAAATTCAAACGATGATCGAAAATTTACTTTTCGTACCGAGAAAAGAAAAGAGGCGTATCAAGAAAGTTACGGGATAAAAATCAACGCTCACCCCACGCAGATTTTTGAAGTGAAGTGAAGACTCCGAAGACTTCTTAATTTTTATTGAGTCTAGGACTCTTGTAAGGATGACAATATCTTCTGCACAAAACAATTTAATTTCTGAGGGATAAAAAATTATTTTTGAGTCAGTTGAAAAATCTTTTTTTCTCTGTCTAAAATATTTTAGTGAGTCAGTTTCAAAATAAGTGTGTCAAAATTTCTTTAAAACATTTTTTAAAGTTACACAATTTTCTTTGGTGAGAAAAATATACTTTAAATATTTTTTCGTGTATTGTTTGACACACCAAATAATTTTTTGGACTCTCTTTTTCTCTCCCCTACTCAAATTCATTGAATAGGGAGATTTTACAAGAGGAGCGTGCCTTGTTATTCTCGTTGTCCCAAACAACGAGTTAGAAGCCAAAGTGCTTCCAATCGCACTTGGTTTGGGCCCTTTGTGTTTGCGCATTATTTTCATTTTAATCGATTATATCCTTTAAAATAATCGATTAGATCCAGCGCAATTTCTCAGGTTTGAATTCTTAATCGATTATTTCTATTATAAAAATCGATTAGCTTGGACAGAACCTCCTGATCGATTTATTGCTTCAATTTAATCGATTTTTAAGCCTTTCGTTGGGCTGCTCAACCTTGATCAATAATCGATTATTTATCCTCCATTAATCGATTAGTTCGTACCGAACCTCCTAATCGATTATTTGTCTTCATTTAATCGATTATGATTCAGTTTTCTTTTCAGGCTTTTCGCTTCCGTACACTTTAATCAATTAAAATTCCTAATTTAATTGATTAATTCTCTCTGGTACAGAACATCAGCTTTCTTCAACGGCTTTATTTTCCTCAGCCTATTTAATCCCTCATTCTCCTTCATTTTCAACACACACCTCTTGCACTCCAATATATTTCTTTGAGCTATATTCATCCTTTGCTTCATCTTCCTCATCAAAATATTATTTTTGAGAGTTAGAAATATTTTTTCTTTGAGTGCTATAGAAGTTGTCATCCATAGAGCTTAAATCTTTCAAACACTACTTTGCTCAATTGTGTGAGCTTTCATTCTTGTGTTGTAAACTCAATCTCATTTGAGTGTTGTTCTTAAGACTTGTGT